CTGTAGAAAGAAGTATTTTAGAACTTGAGAAAGGAGTTAGCTGATATAATAGATATGAAAAGTTAGTCAATTACCTAATAAATACTATTACAATTGGATCACAAATCATTAGGCGCATATATAAAACATTTGTTTAAGAATGTCAATACTGATGAATCTATGCTTAATCAAATTTCAGAGTTGATTGATTTGATGTGTTCTTGCTTATAATATGAACCCCATAATAGACCACAATTATAGTCAATCTAAAAGAGTAACATCTTGAATGTTGATTTACAAAATGCAAGGCAGATCGCAAGGCCAATTATTAACTATAAAAACCCTAGGATTATTTTTGAAAGTCAAATTTACCAACCTTCTAGATAAATCGCATTGGCGATAGTCAAGAATAAACCTGTTGAAATTGAATCCATTGTGTAAATAATTAAATTGTTCAATCAAACCATCTTATTCAGCATCATGGACGAATAGAAACTAGATTTAATAAGCTATCTATTCCATAGCAGAGTGTTAGACATCTTAAATTTCATAGTTTTACACCTAAATTATAAATATGATTTACCACAATTAGTTCAATAATTCTCATAAATATTTATTGAACTTTAATAACATTTGCAATAGTAGGAGTCACCAGCTAGTCAACACGTTGAAGCCATCATAACTACTTTAGTCAAATTTACTCTTGGAGAACCATATAGATTGATAAGTGATAAGATGTTTATGGCTCCAGAGTCAGGATTCTTTTCTATTAGAGATGATGAATTGGATCATGAATTTAAGGATAAGAATCAATTTTACTCTTATTGGACTCCAAGCATTTATAAAATAGTAGCTCCAATTTATAAAGATATGATAAGTGAGAGTGGTGTTGGTAGTGGTAATATGGTTGCTATTAGAAATTATATTCAATTATGCACTGAAAAGCAGGTGTCTCCATTCGATATGAATAAATTTGCTGTCAATGTGGCTCCTGTTAAGTATAATACTATTGCACGCTCATCAGAATACTATAGTGAAGTAATGTCAGTGTCAGATTCACATCTTTAAATTGCCAATTATCTGAATGGATCGTTTAGTAAATCTTCTGTTAAGATTGCTCTCAACTATGTATCCTCTTTGATCAAATCTAACAAGATTAGCAAATTATAAGTTTTAGTCGATAGTAGAATTACCAATCTCTTGATCTAACTAGTAACTGATCAAGAATTCAGAACTAGTGTTCTATAAATGTTTGCTCATATTACTATTGCATTCCGTAATGAGGTTCCTACAAGTTTGAGAATTGAGCATTCCAATTAAGGATTAGTCCAATAATATTAATAAAATAATGCTGTCCATTTACTTCGAAATCTTTCTATTATTAGTCACATTTTGACCAATAAGAACAAATTATCAAATGAGCGATTTTTGTCATTCCAACCAACAGAATAAAATTAATCAGAATCAAATAAAATTCAATAATTAAATTTATATGTTGCTGAATAGATCTTTGCGTTGCCCACAATTTACCAAGGCCTCTTTGTTGACATTAAGACAGATCCTGATTTGGTGTATAAAATTATAGGCAATTTATTATAATGGCCTAAAGTTGGCAAATATGCCCTCGGTGGATCTACTTAACAATTGCTCGTTGAGATGTTTAGACCTATGGCATTGTAAGCCGAACACAAAAAGTCAAATAATCTCTAATTGAGCTTAAAACTCTATGATGAAATTATCACCATGGCATTACCTAATACTATTGATTTAATACATTCCAGTAAAGTCAGAATCATGTTACAAACTCATAATTTGTTGGTTCCTGAAAAATCATCCTCGGAGAAGTTTGTTAAAATGTCGAAATCCCTTAGCAACCAATGGAAGGAGTAAAAGTCAACTATCACTCAAGAGATAAGGGATTAAGTATCAATACTAATGAATGGAAGAAGCTTAACGAAAAAATAAATACCACCTATATTTGCATAGATCAAGTAGGCACTTAAATAAATTCAAGCATATGTTGTATACACAAGCAAAGATAAATTATTAAGTAATCCAGAAGAGAGAAGGTTCATTAGCAATGCCTTTTAAATGATCATGAGCATATTCAATGATCTATTAACTTTTGGGTAATTACATCAAGAATGCTGCGATTTATTACAATCTCTTGCAGATTTTATCATGTACATTACTCTAATTTCACCGCTGTTAATTTTTGATATTGAAGACATGCAAAGCACTAAGAATTCTATCATATGGCTCAGAGACACTGTTGATTTTATATATGAATTCCATATTGAATGGGACAGAGTTAATGAAGAAAGACGAATGAGAATAGAAGAAATTAATAGATTGAAGTAAGAAGAATAAGAAAAAAACTAAAAGTTTGTTGAATCCTTATAACAAAAATAAAACATATAAGAATCTAAAATAAATAAAAATGTCACTTTTAAATTACCAACTGATAAATCTGTGATCTTAACTTAATAATAGTAATAAAGTTAATCTTAATCATAATTCTAATCGCAATTATAATCTATCAAACATTCTTAGTAAGTGAGTATTGCCATGTAAAATTAATCATTGCAATAGTCGCAAATTACTGTCAATAATCAATTGTCACAAGCTCAATTGTCACAAACTCAAATAGTAAAGTCACAAACCAATTAATCATAGATAAAAAATGTTAGTAAAAGATTGCAAGAACCTCCCAATTCATAATCTTAACTTCAATTAGAATATGCAGTCAAATTGGAATTAAGACCATACTCTTCAAATAAATTGATATAGTGTGCACTTAATTTACTGAAATGTTTAACAGCTATTATCGATTCAAATATCAATTAATATTTGTAACTATTAACTTTCTTGAATATCGGAACCTGGTACACAAACCTGACTTTTAAATAATGGATAATTTTCGAGAGAGTTGTAGGCCCATCTTTAGAAGAAACTCTTATTATAAAAAATTAAGTAGATGAATCTATGGTCAGGACTTCCTTATTTGAGGCTATTGGTAAATGCTAGAATCATGGGTTATAAGAGCAATTAATAAATGCAGGATTTATTAAAGGAATTTTCAGTTATCTTCTAAATAATACAAAATCTTTTGAAGTTTAAAAAATAGTCAAAACGCATTCCTATGTTCCATTTATACATTGGATGCCTTATCGACATGAAGCATTAATTTATTTTACAGCAATCATTTGGGAACGTAAGAACTGTGTCAACTTTTACAATGAAATGATGATTGAAGTACATGCACGTAACACACTCCAAGAGGAAAGCAATCATCTCACTACTAAGGTTGACAATAAAAGTAAGGAAGCTAATAGCACAATCATGTTCACTAGGGTCTATATGCTTTGCATCTTGATATCAGCCAATGATAGTGGACTTTTATTCTTGATGGTAATTTATTAATAATATCTTAGAAATAACTTAAAATAAGTTAAAAGCTATTATAATTGTTCCAAACGAATGAGGACTTTAGGCAATTATTTTAGGGAATATATTAGTATCTAGTCTCTGAAGAGTTGGAGCTTTGAAGTATTTTTTTATGAATAAATATTATTGAATGACAAAAAAATATTCATTTGAAACAATTATTTGAATCACTCCGTAACAAATGTCACTTATGTGATTTCAAAGAGACTCTCCCTTAAAATAGGAAATGCTTAACTAAAGTGTTTATCATTGTATAAGTATTCAATAATTTCAGATGCTTCATGCAGCAATTTCATCTTAGATTATTAACATCTAACAATAATTAGTTTTTATTTAATTTCAAGCAAAGTTTGAATTCGTTCTTGTAAGTATCCACCTAAAGTGTGAGTATCTCCAACCAATTCTAAATATAGAGACAACCGTTAGCAGGTGAAATCCAATTTCTGAGGTGAAATTCTTTCACTTATCCTCATTACATCGCTTTATCTTCTTTGTCTAGAAGTATGACAAGCACCCATTAAATTCCTAGTTTTAACTTTTTTTCTATAGATTAAATTTATTTATTATTACTAAATTATTAAGGAGCTTTTTAAATTTAATTCAATTTAATTCAACTTCTTATTCAAGTCAGATTATTTATTTTCCTATCATAGTTGAAGATCATAAGTCCATCACTACTGATTAAATATAAGAATATCGTAAGTTTCGTTTAGATTGAAAATTCAGAGGTTTTGATGCTAATTACTTTGTTCTTAATTAATTATCCTCATATCCAATATTTATATTGTAATATTTGGGAAAACTATAGGAGACATAATTCTATAAAGCAAAACTTATTAGAGTGTCCAATATACTTAGAGAGGCCTTATAAAGAGTATCCTGAGCAGATATGGGATTGGAGAATAAGGATTCAATCTCCGAGTTTTGGACTAATTAATTCACTTATTTTTAGTTAAAACTCAGGTTCATTCTTAATCAGATCAAAGTAATATACTAAACCATCTTACAAAAATTAAAAAGTCTTTGTTTTTTGTCAAATATGTGTCTACTTTTTTGGATTCTATATATATTAATCTGAGAACATACCAAAACTGATCAATAATCGAATGGGAGATTATCTATCAAAATTATTGAGAGATAATTCAAACCTAAATTATCAGAATATCTAGAAAAATAAATATAATAAATATTTTTAAGATAATAATTTGCACTAATCGATAATTATATTTGAAAAATGTTCATTAGCCAATGCTTCTGAAAATAATTTACATAAAATATTTTTGTTACTGTTTCAAAAAGGATAGATCATAAAGGGTAGTTTAGAGATGATTCGATGGATTTTTAGTGTGAATTAGATTTTTTAAGTTTAATAAAGGATAATTTTGTATAAAGGAAATGAATTAATATAAAAAATAAAGATGTTCAAGATATCAGTTACATTATTGAAATGGAATAAATAAGAAAGGAGGATTAATCAACTAAAATAAATATAAAAGAATGTTCAATTAAGATTATTTGTTGTTNTAAATATTATTGAATGACAAAAAAATATTCATTTGAAACAATTATTTGAATCACTCCGTAACAAATGTCACTTATGTGATTTCAAAGAGACTCTCCCTTAAAATAGGAAATGCTTAACTAAAGTGTTTATCATTGTATAAGTATTCAATAATTTCAGATGCTTCATGCAGCAATTTCATCTTAGATTATTAACATCTAACAATAATTAGTTTTTATTTAATTTCAAGCAAAGTTTGAATTCGTTCTTGTAAGTATCCACCTAAAGTGTGAGTATCTCCAACCAATTCTAAATATAGAGACAACCGTTAGCAGGTGAAATCCAATTTCTGAGGTGAAATTCTTTCACTTATCCTCATTACATCGCTTTATCTTCTTTGTCTAGAAGTATGACAAGCACCCATTAAATTCCTAGTTTTAACTTTTTTTCTATAGATTAAATTTATTTATTATTACTAAATTATTAAGGAGCTTTTTAAATTTAATTCAATTTAATTCAACTTCTTATTCAAGTCAGATTATTTATTTTCCTATCATAGTTGAAGATCATAAGTCCATCACTACTGATTAAATATAAGAATATCGTAAGTTTCGTTTAGATTGAAAATTCAGAGGTTTTGATGCTAATTACTTTGTTCTTAATTAATTATCCTCATATCCAATATTTATATTGTAATATTTGGGAAAACTATAGGAGACATAATTCTATAAAGCAAAACTTATTAGAGTGTCCAATATACTTAGAGAGGCCTTATAAAGAGTATCCTGAGCAGATATGGGATTGGAGAATAAGGATTCAATCTCCGAGTTTTGGACTAATTAATTCACTTATTTTTAGTTAAAACTCAGGTTCATTCTTAATCAGATCAAAGTAATATACTAAACCATCTTACAAAAATTAAAAAGTCTTTGTTTTTTGTCAAATATGTGTCTACTTTTTTGGATTCTATATATATTAATCTGAGAACATACCAAAACTGATCAATAATCGAATGGGAGATTATCTATCAAAATTATTGAGAGATAATTCAAACCTAAATTATCAGAATATCTAGAAAAATAAATATAATAAATATTTTTAAGATAATAATTTGCACTAATCGATAATTATATTTGAAAAATGTTCATTAGCCAATGCTTCTGAAAATAATTTACATAAAATATTTTTGTTACTGTTTCAAAAAGGATAGATCATAAAGGGTAGTTTAGAGATGATTCGATGGATTTTTAGTGTGAATTAGATTTTTTAAGTTTAATAAAGGATAATTTTGTATAAAGGAAATGAATTAATATAAAAAATAAAGATGTTCAAGATATCAGTTACATTATTGAAATGGAATAAATAAGAAAGGAGGATTAATCAACTAAAATAAATATAAAAGAATGTTCAATTAAGATTATTTGTTGTTCTTAGTAATTGAGAATATTAATGGATAAAATAAATTAAATTTATAATTAAAATATATATATATATAATATCATTTTTTCTTATTTTCTTTTTTTTCAACAGATTTAATTACTCCAACTGCAACAGTTTGTTTCATGTCTCTTACTGCAAATCTACCAAGAGGTGGATATTCAGAAAAGGCTTCAACACAAATTGGTTTAGTTGGTATTAACTTAACAATTGCAGAATCTCCTGATTTAATAAATTTAGGATTTTCTTCAATTACTTTAGCTGATCTTTTATCAATTTTAGATATTATCTAATCGAACTTACATGCAACATGAGCTGTATGACAATCTAAAACTGGACAATATCCATTTTAAATTTAACCAGGATGATTGATTATTATCACTTGAGCATTAAATGAAGTACATTCTTTTGCTGGATCGTTCTTAGAGTCAGAAGCTACATACCCTCTTTATAAATCTTTAACTGATACACCTTTGACATTAAAACCTACATTGTCTCCTGGTATGGCTTCTGGGTGATCTTAGTGATGCATTTCTATTGATTTCACTTCTGATGCTATTCCAGAGGGAGCAAATTAGATTACCATACCTCTTGTCAACACTCCAGTTTCTACTCTTCCCACTGGAACTGTTCCAATACCACCTATTTTGTAAACATCTTATAATGGAAGTCTAAGTGGCTTTTCTGTGGGTCTCTTTGGAGGTGTTACTGCATCCAAGGCCTCCAGAAGAGTTGGCCCATTATACCATTGTAAATTGATTGACTTCTCTAACATATTGTCTCCATTCCATCCAGAAATAGGAATAAATGGAACATTGTCTGGATTGTATCCTACTTTCTTTAAGTAAATTGACATCTCCTTAACAATTTCATCATATCTTGCTTTAGAATATTGTACTGATTTCTCATCCATCTTATTTATAGCACAGATCAATTATCTAACTCCAAGTGTATAGGCTAATAAAATGTGTTCTTTGGTTTATCCATTTTGAGAAATACCAACTTCGAATTCACCAGCAGTTGCAGCAATCATTATCATAGCTATATCTGCTTAGGTTGTTCCAGTTATCATATTCTTTATAAAGTCTCTGTGTCCTGGGGCATCAATTACTGTATAGTAATATTTATTTGTTTCAAATTTCCATAATGAAATATCTATTGTAATTCCTCTTTCTCTTTCATCTTTCAGATTATCTAATACCCAAGCGTATTTAAATGATCCCTTTCCAATTCTAGTGGCATCTTCTTCATATTTCTTTATAGTTCTTTCATCTATTCCACCTAACTTATAAATCAGATGTCCTGTTGTTGTTGACTTTCCTGAATCAACATGTCCAATTACTACTAAATTTACATGAACTTTATCTTTTGGCATTTATTTTTATTAATGACCTTACCTAACAAAACTTTATCACTTAAAAATTCTTAGAAAAATTTTAATGACTATTTTAATTAATTTTATTAACTATTTTAATTAATTTAATAATAATCAACTTTTATTAAATTTTTTCTATCTCAAATCTTTTTTTATTAAATACTACCACTATTTAGCACAAATCTTTTACTTCTTATCTCAGATTTTCTTTTCTTACATTATATTTTTTCACAATTATACATTATAGATACATGACACAACACTTTTATGATTTTCATCATTAATTATAAACAAATATCATAAATATAAGATAAGAAGTAAAAGATTTGTGCTAAATAGTGGTAGTATTTAATAAAAAAAGATTTGAGATAGAAAAAATTTAATAAAAGTTGATTATTATTAAATTAATTAAAATAGTTAATAAAATTAATTAAAATAGTCATTAAAATTTTTCTAAGAATTTTTAAGTGATAAAGTTTTGTTAGGTAAGGTCATTAATAAAAATAAATGCCAAAAGATAAAGTTCATGTAAATTTAGTAGTAATTGGACATGTTGATTCAGGAAAGTCAACAACAACAGGACATCTGATTTATAAGTTAGGTGGAATAGATGAAAGAACTATAAAGAAATATGAAGAAGATGCCACTAGAATTGGAAAGGGATCATTTAAATACGCTTGGGTATTAGATAATCTGAAAGATGAAAGAGAAAGAGGAATTACAATAGATATTTCATTATGGAAATTTGAAACAAATAAATATTACTATACAGTAATTGATGCCCCAGGACACAGAGACTTTATAAAGAATATGATAACTGGAACAACCTAAGCAGATATAGCTATGATAATGATTGCTGCAACTGCTGGTGAATTCGAAGTTGGTATTTCTCAAAATGGATAAACCAAAGAACACATTTTATTAGCCTATACACTTGGAGTTAGATAATTGATCTGTGCTATAAATAAGATGGATGAGAAATCAGTACAATATTCTAAAGCAAGATATGATGAAATTGTTAAGGAGATGTCAATTTACTTAAAGAAAGTAGGATACAATCCAGACAATGTTCCATTTATTCCTATTTCTGGATGGAATGGAGACAATATGTTAGAGAAGTCAATCAATTTACAATGGTATAATGGGCCAACTCTTCTGGAGGCCTTGGATGCAGTAACACCTCCAAAGAGACCCACAGAAAAGCCACTTAGACTTCCATTATAAGATGTTTACAAAATAGGTGGTATTGGAACAGTTCCAGTGGGAAGAGTAGAAACTGGAGTGTTGACAAGAGGTATGGTAATCTAATTTGCTCCCTCTGGAATAGCATCAGAAGTGAAATCAATAGAAATGCATCACTAAGATCACCCAGAAGCCATACCAGGAGACAATGTAGGTTTTAATGTCAAAGGTGTATCAGTTAAAGATTTATAAAGAGGGTATGTAGCTTCTGACTCTAAGAACGATCCAGCAAAAGAATGTACTTCATTTAATGCTCAAGTGATAATAATCAATCATCCTGGTTAAATTTAAAATGGATATTGTCCAGTTTTAGATTGTCATACAGCTCATGTTGCATGTAAGTTCGATTAGATAATATCTAAAATTGATAAAAGATCAGCTAAAGTAATTGAAGAAAATCCTAAATTTATTAAATCAGGAGATTCTGCAATTGTTAAGTTAATACCAACTAAACCAATTTGTGTTGAAGCCTTTTCTGAATATCCACCTCTTGGTAGATTTGCAGTAAGAGACATGAAACAAACTGTTGCAGTTGGAGTAATTAAATCTGTTGAAAAAAAAGAAAATAAGAAAAAATGATATTATATATATATATATTTTAATTATAAATTTAATTTATTTTATCCATTAATATTCTCAATTACTAAGAAATAATAAAGAAGCTTAATTTAATATTTTATATTACTATATTAATTTTAGCTGATCCCTTTGAATTTATCTTATTTCCTAAATTTTAATAATTATTCTAATATAATGAAAATTCTTAATAAAAATATCCTTATCGTATAATTATTAACCCTAATTCACACTAAATGCCAATAAATATTCTTTAACAAAACACTCCCTTTCTATTCTTTTTCAAATACTTTCAGATACCTTATTTAAGCTATATCTAATAAAAGTTTTTGTGATTATTTTATTTAAATTCATGTTGTCTGTTCATAATTTACTTTATTTTTGTTATTATTGGAAAAAATATTTTAAACTAAAAGCATTAATGTGCAGCGGTTAAATGTATTTTAGATTAACCATGAAATGTTATGAGAAAATTACATGCGTTTACATAATGTTAAGAGAATAAAATTGAATATATGAACATGAGTTATTCTTAAAGGAATATTTTTTGTGTGATAAATTACTGATTATTATTTATTACTTCTTTTATAATGAGAGTTTAGTAATAAAAGAGATTTATTAAGTAATTAATTTTATTTATGTCTGAATAAATGCTATTAAGGGCAGCCTTTGTTGACTTTTTAAAACAAATGCTTCCTTTAATTATTGATCCTTTACTTATTGTAAACAGCCATTTCAAAAACTTCACTCTATTACTTGAAGATTAGACAAAAACATCTCAATAGATTTTAGAA